CAGGGGTACCCTTTGGAGAGTTTCTGCTGAATGCTTCAATCGTGTTGTGACAGATGAGGTGAGACAGGAAAATGCTGAATGTGGAAGTGACATGAATTCATATAGACTTTCTAGAGCTCGCTTCTGGAAGGAGGTTGCAGATGTATATGAAACCTTTCTTGTTGGATCTTGTGGGCGTGTGTTGTCTTCAGATGTTCCTTCAGCTGACTCTGCTACAGCTGATGAGAGCCTTGAGATGACTGTCCTCACTGTTTTTGGAGACAGTGTTCTGAAATTGCAGAAGGAGGCTCCTGTTGAGGTTTGTTCATAATAAGATTTATTTCTTTAGCTTTGCAGTTGTACATGAGAGATAACTAGTTGTGGCTTGGAAGGGTTCTAAAAAATCTGTCCTTGTAAAGGCTCAATTGTGTCCATCTAACTGGTACTTCAAATGTCTGTTCTCTCCAGGTATTGCAAAGGCTTGTGAACTGTCTTGATCGTTGTGCATCACGAACAGGATCCCTACCTATTCAAACTGTCGGTCTTCTACCATTGCACTGCAGCAGATTTTCTCTGGGCTGTTTGCAGATGATGTTTTCTTTGTGCAGGTGCAACATTTTTTTTCTATTTCATTTCTTGCTTATGCCAACTACCAAAGTGAGAGTACACTTACACACAATGTTAACTTGTTCCTATAATTGCAGTTGTATATCGAAGACAAGCTCATACCCTGCAGTATCAGAAACCAGCAAAGTTTCTATTTCCATTCTTACAAAGCGATGTGAGGTTATACTGGGTCAGTTTTTAGCTGATGAAAATGACCTAGGTATTTTTCAAAATCGATGATGATTTAATCTTGAGCTTCCTTTCATAGTAACGTTGTTGCATCACTAGTATATTAATTTTCTACAGCAATGCCCCCAATTTTGTAATGATAATGTTATATTGTTGCAGGAGACCGTCCATTGCCTAGTGTGAGGATTGAAGAAACGGTTTGTGTCCTTCAAGAGCTTGCTAGGCTAATATTAGATATTGAAACAGCTAATGCTCTCAACATACCACTGTACCTGAAAGATGCTTTACGGGAAAACCAGTCCCATGGGAGGGCCCATTTGTTGTCGTTGCTTCCCACTTTCTCTGAGCTTGTCGTCTCAAGGTGAGAGAAGGGTTTTCTAGTCCTATAGAGTTAGTAGGAAGTATAATATAGAGCTAATGTTTCAGACAGTAAGAAATACCTAAATTAGGTAGATAGTGATTTGTGAAATTGTTAGCAAGTAATGCAAAGTTACGACCAAAGTTACCACTGGTAGTTGCTGTACAATTCACTAGTTGCTGTCAAAGAGTGTACAAAGATTGTAGCTGCAATTAAGTACTCCCTCCGTCCCAAAATTCTTGTCTTAGATTTGTCTAAATACGGATGTATCAAGTCACGTTTTAGTATTAGTTCATCCGTATCTAGGCAAATCTAAGACAAGAATTTTGGGACGGAGGGAGTAATAAAAAGCTACCCAGGTAACACGTAGGATCGCTAGTAAATAATGTAGATCTATCCCTGGCATAACTGAGAGGTTCCCAAATCCCAATAGCACTAGAGTTTCCAGTACATTGTTGATAGTTGCACAAATAACACAGCTGTGAGCTGGCACTGTAGAGCTGTGAGCAAGTAATATCAGAGTTACTCTCTGGGGATACAAACTGACTAGCAAGTTACGTCGCTGATTTAAGTAATAGCCGCTTTCTGACCACAAACTAGCTGTCAGCTGAGAAATAACTTGTTGTTCCATCTCCAGAATGTAAGAACTGAAATGTGGTGTAGATCACTGCAAGTGTCAATCTTGTAAACCCAGTCTGAATGATCATTTAAAGGTTAAAACTGGGCACTCCTTTGCTATGTGATTGCATTACTCCTTTGAAAAAAAATCAATAGATCAATCTCTAAATTAATACGATGAACATAGCAATACCCATGTTCTAGAAAAAGGTGGCGATGTAGGACAATATCGTTTGACTATTCATGGAAAATACCCTCATGGGTGTTTATCTTTCCCTAGCAGGAAAAATGTTGCCAACTTGGTATAACTATTTGGTTCTATTTACCGGTAATGAGCTGTTAGTTGATCAGTTCAACCAGAATTCTGTTCCTGAATTTTCCCATTAATATCAACAATTGTTTGTATAAAGTAAGAATAAATGATTCCTGTGGACTATTGTTTTCTTAAATAATGTCTTTCATACTATCAGAATATATCCTACTCAATCGAGAATCTCAATCCTCACAACGGTGGTCAACATGTAATCTTTATTTTAATTTTGGGTTCATTTGAGCCATTATTTGTCTTCTTACTCTTTATATTTACACTGGCATTCTGTTGTCCCTGCATCAGAGAAGCCAGGGTTCGGGAGCTTGTTCAGGTCCTTCTCAGACTCATCTCCTCAGAGCTAGGATTGCAACGCCTGACGTAAAGATGAATGATGAACTCCGTTTTTATTCTTTTGCTGGACCGGAATGCTATGTCTTCGTTAGTATTCCACCTCTTCATTTACATCCATGATCCTGTATATCCGCCATGACGGGCGAGAGGCGCTCGAGGAATCACATCTATAAATGAATAGGGTTGTACATGTAACATTTTGTCGAGGAAGTTGTTTTCTGTTTCTGTAAACATTAGGTATATAGCCAATATTTTTCATGTTTGACGTAGCAGTAGTCAACCTCTAGTTGTGACAGTAACTTGTATTTTGAATTGTGGATTAAGGCTGTGATGGTGTTGATACAAAATAATGAACCGTTTACACTGGTGAATGATCTGTAAGCACATTCAAGCCACTACAGTTGTATTTTTCACCTTGGCGAGTGATTTTCATTTTGCCAGAGGTTTTATCAGCTTTTCGAAAATGGTTACCTGACACAATACTCCCTCGGTCAAGTTGTACTAAAGTAATACTCCCTCGGTCAAGTTGTACTAAAGTTTGAGACACTTATTTTGGGACAAAGGGAGTATGTTGTATGTATAAAATTTGCACGGATGTGCAGTGTTAGAACAGTGGGAACTTTTCTGCTTTTTAAAGTGTGTTCTGTGTGCATCTGGTTCTAAAACATTGTAAGATCTGCAACATAGATGTACATATTAAAATGTGTTCTTTGTGGATCTCGTTCTAAAACATGGTAAGATCTGCAACTTAGACATACATAGTATGAAAGTATATTTTTATAAACTATCTAATTTGGTGCTCTATATAATATGTTTTTCTAGAAACTTGATCAAACTTAAAGATTTTGACTTAGGACAAACTTCAATTAATCAATTTGGAACTGAGGAAGAGGGAGTACTAGCTAAATACTCTGGCTAGTGGCATCGTAGTTCCTAACCTTGTGTAAATAAAAGTGTACATAAAAAACGTCAGTTGAATCAACTACACAAAATGTTTGTGATACTTTATTCAATTGGGAGCATGGGTTACTAACTTTGTGTAAATAAAAATCACCACATCGATCACGCTTGATCCAAAATCACCACAACATAACATGTCTTATATCGCAAAGGAGGGAGTACACATTCGATCCAAAATCACCACAACATAATATGTCTTATGTCGCAAAGGAGAGAGTACATGTTTGATCCAAAATCACCACAAACATAACATATTTTATGTTGCAAATGAGGGAGTACATTCCAAGGAGCTCACATATACTGATCCACTTGCAGGTAAAATGGAGTCTTCTAACGCTTCGTGGTCCCAAAAGGGTTTAGGATTTAACACGCGCACACATACCCCTTTGGCTGCACTAGCGATTTAAGGCGATTAGGGTTGCTCGCCTCTTGCTGACGCCGCATCAGGTCTATCCCGTCTCTTGTGGCCTTAGACCATGGAGGCGTGGTGGATCTTGGTCTTTACCGGCGGGAGGGTCCAGATTCATTTTTATGTGTCCTTTTGTATCCATTTAGGGTTTCTGCTCAAAAAGGTGAGGCGACGGCGGTTTCCTGAAGATGGAATACTGTTCTCCCTGCCTAACCTCTGTCCCGGCGATGCGCCTAGCCTTGTCTTCGAGAGGTGTGTCTCCAGCAGATCTCGTGGGATCGGTTGGTGTTTTGTCTTCGGTGGATCCGGTCTTCGTTCGTCTGTGTCTGTGTGTCTGAATATTAGATTTTTTATCTACGCCTCTTTTCATCATCGCAGTTGCTGTTCTGGTGCGCTAATCTAATCCTATGTGGCCTTAGCACGACGACTTTCTAACCGTCGACTACAACAAAGTTTGTCTGGCTCCAATGAGTAAGGGGCGATGACGGCGAGGCGTGGTCTACCAACCTGAATGTAATTTTTTTTTGATGTTCTTTGCACTATCTTGATATTTAATAAATAGTTTGGAAGTTAAAAAAAACGGTTCGTGGTCCCTTGCACGGCGATTTTTCCTCTTGACTCACTCAGCCCTTCGATCTTCCTCGCGTGACCTAATGCTTTGACCTAACGAAGCTTCAACCGGGCCAATTGGATGCGGATGTAAAACCACCCTAAAATCTTCCGCAGGTGCCCCTGAGCTGCCGCCGCCGTAGCTTGGCGTCAGCGCGGAGGCCCGCTCCCGCTCCCGCTCGCCCACCCAATCCCTCCGCCTCTCACGCGCGTCGCCGCCGTCGCCGTTTCCGTTGTAGCCCGTCGCGTCCCTGCTGTCTCCACCCCCGTCCGCAGTCCTCGACATCCGTTTTCGAGGTATGGCCGCCGCATAGTCACCCACCCAGTGATCAATTGAACGGACCTCTACAAGTTCCAGGATGAGATTAGTACATCTAGATCCGACCCTGTCAACAGAGGATGAGATTCTGAGAGATATATAGTGCCCCTTAAGGGCAAATCAAGCAATAAGTAGTTAACATTTTCCTGTGCTTTCGTGCTACATCACTGGCTTTCTGAAGAAGCTTTTAGGAATTACACACAACCCTAGCCGCATTCCTTTGTTATTGAGGCTGTTTAATTATGTGGTTATGCCATTTCACCCTTTTCCCCTTTATGTATGTAGACCTACCATGAGCACGAAATTGCTCAACAGCTTGAGCCTGAGGAGGCTCTTAGGACAGCAAAGAAACCCAATTGGTGGGTACAACGTATTTATTTTGTCTTATTTGATCATGGAAGGGGCTCATCACATATATGACTCCTTGCTTGTGTATTTTTTTTTCTTGGTAGACTTATACACAGCATCGAGAGCATGGAGCTCTAGCACTTCATTTTCTGGTGTTCATGAGAAGAATGGCATGGGCGTCGAGGCAGATGGTGATGTTGCAGATTCTTGGAAAGATGCTGACTTCCGCGGTGTTTACCGGGTACTTGCTTGATATATCCTATTAGAATAACTACTCATATTTTGGTTCTCATGTTGACACTCGGTTGGCTTGTTTGTTTTTGTTAGGCCATTATTTGTGGCAGCGTTGGACAAGTGCCTGTGCAGAAAAAATTGAGGAACGGGCATATTGTGACTGTATTTACTGTCGGGACTGGAGGCATGTTTGACCAGAGGAGGGCAGGTGCTGAAAACTTGCCAATGCCAGCTCAGTGGCATCGCATAGCTGTTCATAATGAGCAGCTTGGTACATATGCTGTTCAAAAGTTGGTTAAGAAGTATGTGCTTTCTACTCTATAGCACATGATTCTGTTTTTTTGCCTTTTGATGTGAAATCAAAACTAAAGTTCAGATTCTTAATTCACCAAGGATATACCGTGCTTATTATTATGTCTTATTTCAGTGCTGCAGTATATGTTGAGGGTGATATTGAGACTAGAGTCTACAATGATGACATCAATAATCTAGTGAAAATCGTACCTGAGATCTGTGTGCGGTTTGATGGTAAGTTAATCTGAGGTTCAAGTATTTTTTTTCTTTCCTTTGGCAATCTGTTTTGTTGTAAACATTCGTTAGTCAAATAAACTAATGCAAATGTGTTAGCTGAGCACAAGCTAACTGAGTTATTTCTTGAAGAATTCCCTGCTGATTTTTGTTCTCTTGTGGTACCCCATCCATCCCTACCAAAGCAGCTTAGTTAGAAAACAGACCTACCTAAAGGGAGTGAGACTAGCTCTCCTGTTGCTTTTCAATAAAAGGAGAGACAACTCTGTGTGGACTCAAGGACTAGATGTAGTTCTTCATGCAGCTTCATTTGGACTCCCCTCACTCTCAGTATATTGTGCTATCATATCTGAATTCATGTCATTTTCATTACTTACAGAATTTTTGGTTTTGTTCATTTCCATTTGTATGATTTTGATGTTGGGAAATTTAATATTTTCAGGCAAGATACACTTGGTTCAATCTGGGGGCAGTGATGTCAGCAAATCATTGGAAGAGTTAAGTAAGTGCGGTCTGTATCTCTTTTTTTTTCTTATATAAGGGAAGGCATCATAGCATATACTCCCTCCGTCCCACAATATAAGATGTTTTTTGACACTATACTAATGTCAAAAAATGTCTTACATTGTGGGACGGAGGGAGTAGTAAATAAGTGCAGACCATCGGACAGGCAGTGTTGTTGTTCTTTTCAGTGCTCTCCGCTATGTCCGTGAACAGACTTGTGTGCATAAAGAATCACATTAACCTGTAACATGTGTTCATCACATAAGATCGTCATAACAGCCTTCCTTTTGGCAGGGGAGGGGCTATTTTAGTTGCGACCTGAGGGACAATGAGCAGCAGGAGGAGTTGGCCAACTGGAGTGTTAGATTCAGGGCAACTTTGCCAAAGCACTTTTATTAGGTCCATTGATAATAACTGGACTGGAGAACTGAAAGCCCTTGTAGATGCAAGCGGTGCTCTCTCTGCCTTTTTGAGCGTATGGGGGCACTTCTGGTTGTTGAAATCGAGTTTATATTGAGCTGCAGGAGAAACGGCGGTCTATTGAGATCTCTGAAGATGCTTTTATTTTTCACAGCTAGTAATGATGCCCCGTGCTCGTAACAATGACCAGTCTCAGTGTCTATTCATAATACTTGGCGTCTTTGTTTTAAGCCCTACGTGCTAGCATACCATATCGCAGTTAGTTCGCTCAAATCTGAATTTACTTATCTGCTGCAGAAATACAGCTCCTGATGCTCATGTCTCTTTGTCTGCTGGTCTGACTGGCCTGCCTAGAGTGTTTTCATTTTCTGGTTGCTCTATCTTTTTATTTTCATTTTTCTACGTACTCTCTTCGTCCTAATTTACATGCCATCTTATTTCATGATTTAGCTTACTGTCAATTTGACCAATAATGTAAGAGTCACGTGTCATAAATATCATACTGTTAGAATTTTTTTGGGGAGTAGGAATTCAATGGTTGTGGTACTTAATAAATGTTTTATTGGCCAAATTGATGGTCAAACTTAAAACTTGAAATGCATTGGTTCCACACAAACTGGGACACCGTAGTACATGCATAATAGTTTTTTTTTTCATGAATATAGGTGATTTTTTTGTTCATGCCTTGTCGGCGTCCTCCCTTTGCTGCTCCGGCCCTAGTGCTCTAAAAGCTGCGCCCTTCCGGCTTCCTTGGCTCCGGCGTTTCTTTTTTGAACAACAGAAGGCGCACCAAGCGCCAAACTTTTCAATCAGCTCAGTAACAACGTACAACATGGATTACCTGAAAAGGCTTTCGTCCCGCTTTATGAATAAAGCAAACTGCCAAAGAGCACACATACAGAGTCAAGTCCACACACGCACCCAAGTCTCACAACAAAGTACATAGGTTCTGCTGAGGGCACAGCTCAACAAGCCCAAAAAATAAAAAACAGAACACGCCAGACGAAGATAGCGCCTAGTCTGGTTCTGACGTGGCGGCGGCGACAGGCGGACGGCCATCGAGCGAAGGTCGGCGATGAAGGCTGAGATGGCGTCGCGGTCCAGGGGGTGGCTAAGCGGCCGCCAAATCTGCAAGAAACCCGAGAGTTTGAAAAGAGCGCCAGTAGCCCGTTGGAGAGGAGTGCGCTGAATCACAAGCTTATTGCGGATAGTCCAGAGGGTCCAGGCGAGGACCCCAATCTCAAGCCACCTAATGTGGCGAGAAGTCACGGGGGACATCTGGAGTTCGGCAAATAAGTCCAGAGGGTCCAGGCGAGGACCCCAATCTCAAGCCACCTAATGTGGCGAGAAGTCACGGGGGACATCTGGAGTTCGGCAAATAAGTCCGGGAAGTTGGTGTGGCACCAATTTCCACCGACCGCTTCGCGAAAGCAGCTCCAGAGGAACTGAGTGGACACGCAAGAGAAGAAAATGTGGTTCGAGTCTTCGAGGACCCCACAGAGCGGGCAGATGCCAGTACCCGGGCCATTTCGCTTGCGCACCTCCACCCCGGACGGGACCCGACCGCGAATCCATTGCCACATGAAGATACAGATCTTCAGGGGCAGGCGGATGGACCACACCATCGATAGGGGGAGGGGGCGAAAGATGGAGCGATGGCCAGGTATAGCGACTTGGTGGAGAATTGACCCGAAGGCTCAAGGCGCCAGCGCACCAGGTCAGGGCCACCATCCACCATCGGCTCGTGGAGAGCAACACAGTCAAGCAACTCACGCCAGGCGGCGGATTCCAAGGGACCAAAAGGCCGTCGGAAAGCAAGGCGCCCTAAGTCAAGAAGGGCCCTATCAACAGAAATCACGGGATCGACGGAGATAGAGAAGAGGCCGGGAAAGTGAGCCGCAAAGGGAGTGTCCCCGGCCCAGCGATCAAACCAGAACAACGTCGATACTCCGGATCCCACCGAAATGGAGGTCCCGATACGGAGGACCGGGAGAAGCTGGACAATCGACTGCCAGAACTGAGATCCGCCAGACTTCTAGCAGAAGGTGAGGGGCTGTCCGCGCAAGTATTTATTCCGGATGATGTCAAGCCAGAGGCCACCGTGACCTTGCGAGATGCGCCAAAGCCAGCGGGAGAGAAGGGCGATATTCATCTGTTTAGAGCACATGATGCCAATGCCACCTTGCTCCCTGGGCTTGCAGATGTCAGGCCAGCTGACCATATGGTACTTCTGCTTGTCATTGTCGCCTGCCCAGTAAAAGCGGGACTGGACCTTGGCGATCTCATGGTGAAGGGTCTCGTGGAGACTGTAGAAGCTCATGAGAAACAAGAGGAGGCTGGAGAGGGAGGAGTTGATAAGAATAGTCCGGGCCGCCTTGGACAGCCACCTCCCCTGCCAGGGCTCGATGCACGTTTGGAGCTTGGCCACGGAGGGGCGCAAGTCCGCGACGGTGAGCCGGGAGTCACTAATGGGCGTCCCCAGGTAGGTTGTGGGGAAGGAGCCCAGGCGGCAATTGAGTCTGTTGGCGATGGCCAAATACTCTGAGGGGGAGTATCCCATCACCATAATATCACTCTTGTCGAAGTTGATCTTGAGGCCCGACATCTGTTGGAAGCAGAGAAGGAGGAACTTGAGGTTGGAGATGTCCGTCTCCGAGCCTTCGACCATGATGATAGTGTCGTCAGCATACTGGAGGATGGAGACCCCGGAGCCACCGGCAAGATGGGGAGTAATCCCACGAATATGGCCAACGACTTTCGCCTTATCCAGAATGGAGGCAAGCGCGTCCACGACCATATTGAACAAGAACGGGGAGAAGGAGTCGCCTTGTCGAACCCCACAAAGGGTGGGGAAGAAAGGGCCAATCTCACCGTTGATGTTCACGGTCGTGCGACCGCAAGAGACCATTTGCATGACTCTAGTGATCCACCGGTCGTCGAAGCCCTTCCGAAGAAGGACCTCCCGGAGGAAGGGCCAGCTAACCGTATCGTAGGCCTTGTGGAAGTCAATCTTCAGAAAAACCGCCTTGAGGTGTTTGACGCGGACCTCATGAAGGACTTCATGAAGGACAAGGACCCCATCCAGGATGTAACGACCCTTAATGAAGGCCGACTGGTTGGGGTGAGTCACACGGTCTACCAGCAGGGTCACCCTATTGGCGTACCCTTTGGTCAGGATCTGGAAGATCACATTAATAACCGTGATCGGGCGAAACTGGCGGATGTCGGACGCCCCAGGGACCTTGGGGACGAGAGAGATGATCCCGTAGTTGAGACGCCCGAGATCAATGGAGCCAATGTAGAACTCGTCAAAGATGGCCATGACCTCTAGTTTAATCACGTTCCAGAAGGTCTGGAAAAATTTAACCGGGAGGCCATCCGGTCCCGGCGCCGAGGATGGGTTCATGCCCTTGATGGCATCCCAGACCTCTTGCTCGGAGAAGGGGGCCGTAAGGGCAGCGTTCTCCGAGACAGACACGAACTGGGAATCAGACCAGCAATCGGGGGCGAGAGAAATGCCGCTTCTAGGGGCGACAGAGAATAAGGATCTATAGAAACCGTCGACGTGGGACCGGATGTCGCGGGGGTCTTGAAGGAGAGTCTCACCATCCCACAAGAGAAGGATGGTGTTGCGTCTATGGCGGCCGTTGGCGATGGCCTGGAAGTATGCCGTATTTGCGTCGCCTTTCAAGACCCATTTCTGGGCACCACGGAGGCGCCAATAGGCCTCCTCATCGGTGTAGATCACGGAGAGCTGGTCTTCCAGGTCATAACGGGAGAGCCACTCGTCCGGAGAAAGACCCACCGCGTCAGCACGCATGTCAAGGGCCTGGATCACGGATAACAACGCCTTCTTGCGCTCACGGAGGTCGCGACCCAGATTAGCACCCCATCCCTTCATGAACTGCCGACCGCGTTTCGCGCAGAAGTGCCACGAGTCAATGGCCGAAGGGGGGTGGGGGTGGGGGTGGGCGCGAGCCTTGATCCACCGAGCGCCAACAGCGTCGATAAACCCGGTCTGGGAGAGCCAGAAGGTCTCAAACCGGAATCGAGGGGTGACCGGCAGACGCTCGTCAGCAGAAGAGAGGAGAAGGGGTACATGATCCGAGCCAATCCTCGTGATGGCGCGAAGGGAGGCTAAGGGGCAGCAGAGGTCCCAATCCGGGGACACTAGGACCTGGTCCAGGATAGACTGGGTCGGGGAGGCTTGCCTGTTGGTCCAGGTGAACCTGGCACCAATCCTATCGATTTCGCGGAGACCGAGGTCAGCAATGAAGTCATTGAACACTTGCATCCGCGCAAAGCAGACATTATCATTGCTCTTGTCTTCCGCCACGTGTAGGAGTTTAAAATTGCCTCCCACCACCACCAGAAGGGAGGCTGCGGAGATCTTCCGGTGGAGCTCCTCGAGGAAGGCAGCCGACCGACTATGGTCAGCAGGCCCGTAGACGATGATGACCTCCCACTTGAAGTTGAGAGACCTCTCGAACAGCTCCATGCTCACAAAGAATTCCCCTCGATCCATGCTACCCACCTCAAAGCTGGCATCCTTCACGCCTAAAAGGATGCCACCCGAGTGGCCGGCGCTCCCACTAGAAGGGAGCCAATGCCAGGCAAAGAGGTGGGAGCTCAGACGGTCAAGCTCAGGGAGCGAGAATTCGAGACACATGGTTTCTTGAATGGCAACTATGTCAATGTGTTCCTCCCGCATGTACTCCACAAGTTGGCGGCGTCCGCCATCATGGCCGAAACCGCGGATGTTCCAGAATAATGCATGCATTAAGGCGCCATTGGGGGGCTACTTGACCCCAGGACACGAGAGGCGCTTTGAGCACGGAGAGCCGCAGTGCGGGAGCGAG